AAAAGATTGGGTTAAACGAATTACAGGAGAAACTGAGTCAGAATTTAGAGTTGATAAAGAAAATTGGATATACCAAAAACCATCACTTTATAGTACTCCTGAAATGGTTATTGTTAATAAAATAACAAAAGAAGAATTTTCATGTGGTTGTCTTGAAATGGTTCCTCTAAAAGATTTGAGAAAGTGTCAACATCAATCTACTCAAGATATTACTTTTGAAATTATATTGAGAGAAGACGATGAATCAATTGATCATGTAAATGTTGCAACAATGCAAGCAATGAAAGAATATAACAACTCTGTATTTCTTGTTGCTTCAAATTTTAATGCAGTAGAAAGTGTGAGTGAAACAATAGAACCTAACGAACTTAATTTTACTACAAATTATATTTATGATGGGACTCAAGGACCAATAGCATCTCTTGGAGCACCTGCAGCTGCATTACAAAGAACTATTTTTCCATTTTATAATAAAACGACAAAACCAAAAGAATGGGAACAAAGTCAAGAAAAACAAATAGAAATTCTAGGAGAATTAAATTCAATTTATCATGTTATTAATGGATATCCAATTCTTGAAAAAGATGTAAAAGAACCAAGTGAAAAAGATGAAGAAAAATATCTTTCAGTCTTTCATTCAAATGTAGAAGTTACTTATATTTATGGAAGAAATGAAATGATACTTATTCCAAAACAAATGAGAAATCGAATTGATCAAGTATTTGCAGCTGCAATTAATATTGGACAAGGATGTAGTGGATATAGGAATTATGAATTAGTTAATAGAAAACCCAAAGTATTATCATATGCTCTTGATTGTGGATATGAGACATGTTACTTAGTTGCAATTAAGAATCATAGAACGACAATTGTATTAACATTATTAGGAGGAGGAGTTTTTGGTAATTCATATACAGATATTTGTAAATCAATTATAAAAATCCATAAACGATATAGTTTAGGTAATAATGGTGAATTACGTAGAGTAGTTCTTCCTTTATTTTCAAAAGGAGGAAAGGGAGTTATTGAAATTCTTATTCCTTTATTACCACAAGAAAAAATTTTATATAAAATTTTTCATT